TCGAAGTATCTTGTTCCGCCCTGTAGTCCTTTGTAATGACGTAAAATTTGACATCCTCGAACCTGTTGGAAGCCAAAATGTATGCGAAATGGGCTAAAATATATGCATATATGCTTGGTTTTACTGTCACTATGATAAAGTTCTATTTTAGATGCCCCTGTCGAGGCAACGAAGAGAAATGGAAAGGGCAAGAAAAGGACGAGCAAAACAAAAAGAGATTCATCCTTACTCTCTTGGAAGCATTCTAGAGACCTGTTCCGGCCTCAGAGTTATGAATCCCCCCCTATTTCCCCTGCGGTAGAAATGCTGCTTTGCCAAAGGATTTCCATTCTCGCTGCCAAATTTGACTCTCTTTTCCAGGCACTCTGCGCCGGGGAACGTGTTCATGAGTGTCTGCTTTGTCTTCTCCTGAAAATGTTGTTTTGTTTTGTTTTGTTAGTTTTCAGACGTGACAGTGCGATTAGATGATAGTGTCAAGTAAAACCTCGCCATTATTGCACAGGTAAAGTCACCCTTCATCGACAAGATTTGAGTTGGAATATGAGAGGAAAAAATTGATTCTGAAATAAAATAAAAAGCTTTGATTTAGAAATAAAATAAAAAACTTTGATTTAGAAATAAGATAAAAAGCTTTGATTTAGAAATAGAATAAAATGATTTGATTTAGTGTGAGAGACTAAGTACCATGCTCCTCACCACATCGATCACATCCGCCTCGGTAAATTCCCCGACGTAAGAGTATAAGTTCCTTGTAAGAATGTTTTGCAGGATCAACTTGGCTTTCTCGAGATGAGGGGACCCGGAAGGCATCCGCAGAATCTGGTACATGACGTCATCGGTGAGGTAAGTGTAGGCCGCCAAGTCGTTGCACACTTCGCTCAACTTGAAGCTACGGAGGGAGGCCTAAGGTCTATAAAAGGTCTATGTGCTTGCATGCACGTGCACGATAATGAATATGTGCACAGTAATTAGGGCGGGTGAACAACTCTGTCTGCACTAAGTGTACATACTCAATATCATGAATACATTCTTCGAAAAGAGACTAGAGTGGAAGTGGACATGGAAGTCGTCATCTGACATCAAAAACGAAATTGTCTTCATAATTTCAAATAGGCGCGATATAGTAAAAAATGTGGAAGTTATTAATAAAGTAAATGTTGGCAGCGACCACTGAATGGTCAGAGACCAAATCAAATTACATCCCAGACGGGAAAGGGACAAACTCATACGAAAACCGCAGCCAAATTCAACTAACTTGAAGACCAGAGCGACAGAATTTGACCTCAACATCAAAAAAAGATATTCACTTCTCAGCTACGAAGATCTCAACACTGACCAAGTCAACAAACAATTCAATGACATTATAAAGTAGGCGGTAAGAACGTCAAGCAAAGCTCCAGCAAGCTTTCGGTAGAAACTAAACAGCTTATGCAAAAACGTAGGGTCATGAAAGTATCGTCAAACAGGGACAAGATAGAATGAGCTGAACTAAATAAAAAGTAGAGAGATGTGCGGAAATTTAATATAATAAATGAAACAATGATCTCAGGTACCAGCATGAAAAAAGGAGACTTGGCTTAGAAAGAAATCAAATATATGCAATAAAAAAAACAGACGGAGAAGTGACGTATAAGAATGAAATCATAAGAGTAGTGGAACTATACAACTCAAATGAACGGCCACGGATAGAAGCGAACGCTTCTCAACGGTAAACCCCGAAAGCCTGGGAAAATGCAACAATTCTTTTGATACACAAAAAAGGGGATAGAAAGGATCTAAAAAAAAAAAAAAAAAATAGGCCTCCTTCCAGTTACTTACAAACTGTTCACAAAAGTCATCACAATTCGCATCTCTGACAGTCTGGATTCCAAGCAGTCTAGAGAACTGACAGCTTCCGCAGTGGATTCTCAACAACAGACCACATACACACGCTAACCCAAATAAGAGAAAAATAAACGAATATAGGGAACCCCTGTGTATGGCATTCATCTACGAAAAGGTATTTGATTGTACGAATACTAGCAGTACTAGAAGATATTCGAAGACAGGGAGTAGAGGAAGTATATTGTAGAATATTGAAAGATATATACGAAGATGGGACAGTAACCATCAAGCTCCACATGGAAACCGATAAAATACCAATTAAAAAGGTGTGAGGGCAATACCATCTCGCCAAAAACTGTACACCTTGCCTTGAGGAAATATTCAAGAAGCTAGAATGGAACGGAAAGGGTATCAAAATAGGAGACGAATACCTAAACAGTCTAAGTTTTGCAGATGATATTGTTCCTTTCAGTGAATCTGCAAATGAAATACAACAACTAATAGACATTCTGAAAAGAGAAAGTCTGAAAGTCGGAATTAGGATGAACAAGAAAAAAACTAAAATCATGTTTAACAGTATAGTGGAATTCGATCAGATGTATGTGCAAGGCGAAGCGCTACAGGTAGTGGACATGTATATATACTTTGGGTAACTCGTCCAGACAAACACATCTAGCGAAAAGGAAATTAAGCGACGCATCAGTCTAGGCTGGAGCGTCTTCGGTAGACAAAGTAGAATACTAAGAGGCTTCTTGCCATTATATTAAAAATGATTTTTTTAACCAATGCATCCACCCAATTATGACCTATGGATCAGATATGTGGACTACAACCGAATTACTGGAGAAGAAACTAAGAGAGGGATGGAGAGGTAATGGAGAGGGGTGGAGAGGAAATGATTGGGAGAGGCCTATGTCCTGCAGTGGCTGATGGTGATGAAGAATATATACGTATATATGTATATACATGTAATATATTTGTATATATATGTGTGTGTGTGTATATATATATATACATGTGTGTGTGTGTGTATAATATGTATATACATATATATATATATATATATATATATATATATATATATATATATATATATATATGTATATATATATATATATATGTATATATACATATCATAAATATACACACACATATGCATACATATATTCGCATTTATTTATGTATGTATCTGTATTTATGTTTGTAGGTAGATAAGCAGTTGTGGGGAAATTATCTGTATCCATGAATACCTGTGTATGTATGAGAAAAGTGCATTTCGTATGTTTGTGAGAAACCTCGATTACCTTTGTCCATTTCTGTCCTCATACTTGTCAGCCTCTAGAAGGGCGTCCACTAGCCTGTAGATAAATGATTTTTGTTGTAATTAGATACAAACAGTATGTGTTGTCATTGTCTGTGAAATCTTATCGATATCATGGTTTTCTCGTCTTTAAACTTCATTATTATAATTGCTTGTTGGTAACAACAATTTACTGTTTATTTTTAATTCTGTCTAATGACAAACAAGCAGGATTTTTTTTTTGCAGACGCATTTGTGTGCTGTGTCGTGCGATAGAATGTGACAAGCGTCTGAAAAGCTTAGTTCCAGCTCACATTCGGTCGATGATCTTGACGACGCGGTGCTGGTAGGCCTTCTTGTGCAGCATCATCCTGGCGTGGTTCATCTCGTACAGGTTCTCCGCCTCCGACTCCTTGAAGACGATCTGCCACTCGCCCTCGACCTCGGCCGCCCTGGAGAAGTGAACCAGCCTCTCGTACTCGAAGGTCACCTGAGGGCAGAGGACGACCGTGACCCGACTTACTTTCTCCCTGACCTTTCCCTGCGACCTTGTTTTCTGTCTCCACTAGGCTCAGATCCCTTCTGCCTCTGCTCGAGAGTTCAGAAGTCGCGGTTGAAATAATATTTCTTCCAATTTCTCTCTTGATTCTCTCAGCAGCACAAGTAAACTATTAAGAACAAATCACCAAGAACATCGCTTGTCAGCGAAGTGGAAACCTAAACCCAAAGCGGATGCCAGGACGAGAGGGAGTGGCTGGAGCCGACGGTGGGGCACGCGGGTGGCTCACCCCAGGCAGGCCGCTGCCACGCATGCCAGGGCCCCGCCGGCCACGGCTCCCGCCAGCCCCCGCCGCCGAGGCACTTCCTCGGGCCGGTCGCCCCCGCCGGCGCACTCACGTTGATGCCGAGGCCGTGGCAGTCCCTGAGGAAGTAGTCCCACTTGTCCACGTCGGCGCCCGTCCTCTTGTTGTTCACGATCTGAGGGCGAGATTGCGGCTAGTAAAGGACACTTCTAGTTGAGGCAAAAACGGTGGAATATCTCCCATCAATCCTTTCCTGATGTTGCGGTTCATGCTGATGCAAATTGTGATGATGATACGGATATAGCAATGGTGACTGCGATGATATAAAGGATTCACGTTGACAAACAGGCAGACCGACAGAGAGAGAGAGAGAGAGAGGTAAGCCGACAGACAGACCAACAGACAGACAGACAGACACAGAGAGAGAAGGAGAGAGAGAGAGAGAGGCAAGCCGACAGACAGACCAACAGACAGAATGAGAGAAGGAGAGAGAGAGAGAGGGCGAGCGAGAGAGAGAGAGAAAGAAAGAGACCGAGAGAGAGAGCGAGAGAGAGAGAGTGAGCGAGAGAGAGAGAGAGCGAGAGAGAGAGAGAGAGAGAGAAAGAGTGCGAGAGAGAGCGAGGAGAGAGAGAGAGAGAGAGAGAGAGAGAGAGAACGAGAGAGAGAGAGAGCGAGTGGGAGAGAGAGCGAGAGAGAGAGAGAGCGAGAGAGAGAGAGAGAGAGAGAGCGAGAGAGAGAGAGCGAGCGAGTGAGAGAGAGAGAGAGAGAGCGAGAGAGAGAGAGAGAGAGAGGGGGGGGGGGGGAGAGAGAGAGAAGAGAGAGAGACAGAGAGACAGAGAGCGAAAGAGAGAGAGAGAGAGAGAGAGAGAGCGGGCGAGCGAGCGAGAGCGAAAGAAAGAGAGAGAGAGAGAGAGAGAGAGAGAGAGAGAGAGAGAGAGAGAGAGAGAGAGAGAGAGAGAGAGCGAAAGAGAGAGAGGAGAGAGAGAGAGCGAAAGAGAGAGAGGAGAGAGAGAGAGAGAGAGAGAGAGCGAAAGAGAGAGAGGAGAGAGAGAGAGAGAGTGAGAGAGAGAGAGGAGAGAGAGAGAGAGAGATGAGAGAGAGAAAGAGAGAGAGAGAGAGCGAAGAGAGAGAGAGAGAGAGAGAGAGAGAGCGAAAGAGAGAGAGAGCGAGAGAGAGAGAGAGCGGGCCAGAGAGAGAGCGAGAGCGAGAGAAAGAGAGAGAGCGAGAGAGAGAGATAGAGAGAGCGAAAGAGAGAGGAGAGAGAGAGAGAGCGGGCGAGCGAGCGAAAGAGAGAGCGAGAGCGAGAGAAAGAGAGAGAGCGAGAGAGAGAGAGGAGAGGAGAGAGAGAGAGAGAGCGAAAGAGAGAGGAGAGAGAGAGAGAGCGAAAGAGAGAGAGGAGAGAGAAAGAGAGAGAGCGAGAGCGAGAGAGAGAAAGAGAGAGAGAGATCGGCCCACCTCGAAAAGGAAAGCCTTGGCTGCTGTTCTCCCGTTTTCTTCAACTGAAGGCTTTGCTCCAACGATGAGATCCTTGATAAACCGAACGTCTTTCTCGTCCAGCCCTGCTCTTCTAAAATCCTGCATGATGTTGTTCTCGCTGAGGAGGTGGTCGAACATCTTACAGGACATCTCTTCATGCTGTAAAAAGAAAAAAAGGAAAAGACGTAGCGTCATCATACTGCTTACTTACAGGGAAAAGGAAGCAATGGACTTTCTTTTGGGTTTATTATTCTTTAGGAACCACTTCTTGCAAGCTTTGCAACCAACCTTGAACCTCTTTCCGGATTCCTTCTTCCCGGATTCCTTCATGAACGTCTCGAAGACGTGGCTGAAGGCGCCGTGGCCGAGGTCATGGCAGAGGCCCGCGATCTGAACACACAAAACGTCCGCCTTAGTTATTTCGAGTTCCTCCTGGCGGCTTCGAAGGGCATTCACCATCTTCCCCGCCAGATAACATGTCCTGCGCAAAGTTCCCATTATTTAGATTACATGTCACCATATTTTTTCATCATGTTTTTTTAACATGGGAACAGGTAATCTTTGTAAACTTTGTGATGTAACTATGGACAATATCCTTGAGCCCTTCACTCAGTCAAACTTGAAGGAAGAGAAAGAAAGAGAGGAAAACAGTAAGCTAATCAGAATTTTCTTGTTACAAATGATAATTTTGTTAAGTGTGGTGGTAATCGTAACATTCACTCTTTTCATCATTCTCACTGGTGGTATCACTACCTCTGCGAATCACAGTCACCAGAACTAGGGTTTGCATTTTCAAAATCCACTTCCTCATTAATGCCTCTATCAGATATATGTTTCCGGAGTTTGTTTGATGGGAAAGAGAGAGAGAGAGAGAGAGAGAGAGAGAGAGAGAGAGGAGGGAGAGAGAGACAGTTATAAACTACCTATCAAAAGTTCCAGACATATGTAAAATAAGTATTAAGAGTCAGGTGATTTGATTTGGAATTGGAGCTGCCAGGTTTTCCTTTTCTGAGATTAGACGCCCTATTAAAGAAAACGGTTTCACCGACGACCTACTTTGCCTGTCGATATGAACGCGCAACGGAGGTAAACAAAACAAACAATAATACACATACCACGAATACGATGTAAAAGAGAGAAAAAGCTAAGACTAGGCGAATGAATTTAATTTTAAACTAATGGTATCTCAATTTATTTATTGACTGCACTATTCCTTAACACACGTATACACACTTGTACACACACATACACATATCCACTTAAAAACACTCATGCATGTGTGTGTGTGTGATTAAGCACTTGTGCAGCCATATATGTGTAAATACATCAAATAGATTTGTATTACAGTAGGCATGGTATGTGTTCTAGCCATACGTGCCAATTGGGTTAGGTGTACCAACCAAATTGGTTTACAAGACGGAGTTCAAACTCACCCGAGACAGTGTTCGAAGCGGTTGTGAGATGCCGCAGGATACACGAAAGAGGTCGTACCTAGCTGCTTCAGAAACCTGAAATGATAAAGCAATGTGTAATTGTCCTTTAACTGCTGAAGGTGTGTTAACAGGCACACACAAAATCAGCGGGACGTCCACAGGTTTTAACAGGTAAACAGCAATTACATTTCTTATTCGACTTACATACCTGAGTCTCTGAAACTGCGGCGTGTCAATGATTCGGACACAGAGGGCAGGTAATTTAATGTGTCCATGAATAGCATCTTTGATGATCTTCTCCCGCCCTGAAAGACGAATTTACACTATTATATTCCAACACTGATTAGTTACCCAAGTGACGTCTTCTTTTTCTAGCAAATGGTTGAAAGTAGAAAAAAAACGGATGGTTCTAAGAAAATAAAGAAGAAAGAAGAAAAATAAATAAATGAACTCGCATGGAAGCAGATACAAAACTCAAGAATAAGAGTTTCGAATATATGAAAGAAAAAAAAATACCATGTTTCGAAGTGTCCTGCTTGACGGATCAGAGATGTTTTACTAACGACCTGAAACAGTTACAATGTGATAGAAAGAGCACAGTTGGGCATGTAACCACAAATCACAGACAGTTATCTTACTACACATCAGTGATATCACATACTGTATCGCAAATATATGAAAGTTACACTCTTTTATTCATCACTCTCTCATAGAGGAACATGACGTCAATATATTACTTCATTATGAGGAGAAAAGTGAATGTGGGCATGAATAGGACATGAGCCTGCAGTTGTTATGACGATGATGCTTTTCGTAGGCAATAATGATAATGGTTAAGGCAGTCATAATGATAATGCCGGTGATAATAACAAAAGAAACACAAACAAGAATAGCAATGGAAATAATAATGACCATTTGCGATTTTCTTTATATACATTTCTTCCTCCAACAAATCGGGACCATGACTCACGTGATTTCTATGTGATATATCTTGATAAAACTGATCAGCGGTTAAAGCACTGGACTTCGACCCTGCGCTCATATTCAGAGACTCTTGTGACGCCTTAAAAGGAGAGCCGTGCCGACGTCTGAGTTGGAAGGGCATACGATAATGGAAATAACTTCTCAAAAATAGATTGAGAGAAATAAAGTCCAGCATTGGAATGAATGGTTGTTGAACAGATAAGCATGCACATATGTACTCAGACATGTGTGTGTGTACATATACATATATCCGTATGTATGTATGAGTATATATATATAAAAGTTATATATTATATAGTATATGAATATGCAATACAGACACACACACACACACACACACACACACACACACACACACACACACACACACACACACACACACACACATATATATATATATATATATATATGTATATATATATATATATTTATATATATATTTTTTTTAACTTGCAACGCTCCCCATCGTATGTGTTTGTGTGTGAGCTGCGAATATGTATATATATATGTATATATATATATATATATATATATATATATATATATATATATATATATATATATATATATATATATATATATATATATATATATATATATATATATATATATATATTGGTATTTGCAGCGCTCCCCATCGTTTGGTTAAGTGTTTGACTAAACCCTTCTCCAGCGATATTGGGGTCACCGGTGATTCCTAAAGAACTTCGGTGACCTCAGACGTCCGCAAAATTCATGAGCAGAAATAAAAAGCTGGCTAGTTTACAGGCAAGGGAATCCGAGCAGTCGAGAAGGTCACCAGCTCGATGATGGAGGGTGAACTTCCGCGGCCGTAACACCACTTCATCATAAGGCCTAGTGAAGTTATGCGTGGACTCCGGCTACTCGAATATCCAATAAATTAATGGTCTTGGCATGGGCTTTTCTCTGAGCACAGTCCTGGCCACGAGAAAATCCAATTCACCGTGAAGGAGGAAGTAAAGCTTGGATAAATGTTGAAATTACCTAGTTGACAATCTGTGCAGATTCGACTTTGACATATGATTGCGTTAGTTCTTTTTTTTTCGTAATATTTTATTTTATTGTGCAAAATCGGATATAAGTACTCGTGGATCAGACGAAATTAATCCTTTACAGTAATTGTGCATATAATTCAGGATAAGTTAGTGAGAATAATACACCAAATCTATTGAGACAAATAGACAAACAGATCGACAAACAGATTGATTTCACAATAAACGTAATATTTTTTTTATGGTCAATGGGATTATTATTATTATTTTTTTAAATGTCAATGTGTAATAGAACAAGAGAGACAGACAGAGTGAGTGAGTGAGTGAGAGAGAGAGAGAGAGAACAAGAGAGAGAGAGAGAACAAAAGAGAGAGAGAGCGAGAGAGAGAGAGAGAGAATGAATTATTACACAAACCTAAACTACTGTAAGCCTATAAGTGGACCTACAAGCACTCATATCCACACATAATGTATATATTGTAATAGAATATAAAGAATTCCCACAGAATACTTTAAATCAAATAGGCTGATTTTGTGTTTCAGGTGTACATTGGCACTGGGCAAAATAGACATCGGGATCTATACTAAACGTATTTTCTTTCCACGAATAAGGGAATTTAGTGTCTCATCATTCTTTCTTACTTTTCCATTTTTTCTTCCTTTTCCATTTTTTCTTCCTTTTCCATTTTTTCTTTCTGTAATATCAGAAAAAATACATGTCAGTTTATGTATGATTAAAAACTTCTTTACTACATCACTTTGTATTTACATTGCTTGCACACACACACACACACACACACACACACACACACACACACACCACACACAACACACACACACACACACACACGCACACGCACACAAACACACACACACAACACACACACACACACAACACACACACACACACACACCACATTGTATAATTATATATCTGAAGTAGTTGGGAGTTGAGGTGCTGCCCTCTCGAAGGTGAGAAGACCTGGCAGTAGCACGACAGTATGATAGGATTTACACCCCTACTTTGGTGGGCCTGGAAGATGGCCACCATTCTACAGGGATTAGCCAGAACCATCTCCAGCCGACTTCAACTTGGCAGTAGAGGTCTCTCCAGTTGACGAGCTATTATGGCACTGAGATGTCTGTTGGTCCCATGGCTCGGGAGCTGATCTCAGTAGCGAGAACAGTCTTCTTCTCTGGGACTTTGCAAGGTCCCAGAGATTGAGGATTTCTGGCTCATGATATCGGCACTCCAACTCGCATCGCTGGACTTAGTAAGATGATACGGGTACTAAGGTCAAGGAGATCGAGCACATTCTTATTAGAACTTGCTGGAGGATTCTCCAGAACTGTAGGGTTTACCGGAGTGCCAAATTTAGTGGTACTGACATAGAATCAAAACCAGCCGTCTCTCAGTGGCCACTCCAGGGTGTTTCAAAGGGATAGAAGAAGGAGTGTGCACTGAGGTTTGCCACAGCAGTCTCTGATCTGAGTCCATTGGCAGACGCCCGAGAGCAAGGCAGAATTCATCTCATTGTAGACACTGAAGCCACAGTGTTGTGTCATGTGGCTTGACCGAATGGCAATCAGAATTTTCATTGGGGGGGGGGGGCTGTTCCATGGTGCACAGACTCGTACACTATTGAGAAAGTACAAGGAACTGTTCATCAGGAATCTTGCTCAGGAGTTGAAAGGCATTTCCTTGTAAATGAAATTGGTCTTGTCTACTAAGCCCTCCTCGCAGATAGCTACAGTCTGCTCAGTGGATGGATGGATCATCTCAGATCTTGTTGAGGTTTGTAAACGTTGGGCTGACTACTTTGTGCAGCTAGATCAGGTAGACCCTCCAGCATTTAGTCTGGACACAAACGGTGTCGCAATCCCTTTGCTGGACCCACCCGTCAGCAAGGAAACCCGTACTTTATCTGAAGTTAGGGATCTCTAAGCTGATGGGGCTTGCATACTGTCCTGGCTGCCATCTGGCAGTCTGGTTTCCATGTACATTCCCAGTCCTTTTGTGAGGGTCTGGGTCATCCCTCTCTGAAAGAGGAAGGGGGATTGTTGGGACTGTATCACACTGCTCAGTATACCAGGCAAGGTTTCTGAGATGGGTCCGTGACTATTTACTGTACTACAGTAACAGAGACCAAGGACAGTCTGGATTCACTCCTGGCAAGTCCACAGTAGACTATATCCTAGCCTTTTGAGTCATTGTGGTATGCACCTTACATCGACTTCAAGAAGCTCCTGGCCCTAGAGGTCTCCTGGACCAAGACCAAAATCCAAAATTTATTGGAACCTGTTCATTCAGTACCTGTTTACAGAGGGTATTTTGAAGTCTTTGAGTGCTTTACATACCTTGGTAGTGCAGCCCATGTTCCTGGGCTGTCAGACCAGATATCAGTAGACAGATTGGTCTGGCACCAGGAGCCATGAACTCAGTTAATATGAGTATTTGGTGATGCCAGTGCCTATTCAGAGGGACCAAGATTACAGTCTTTAAGGCCTCGGATCCTGCTAGCGGTTATGGAAGCGAAACCCGTAGCTGGAAGCGAAGGGTAGAGCAACCATGTGCCCCCGTCGGCGTTAGCTGCACTGATACATATAGATATATTGTGTGTGTGTGTGTATATATATATATAATATATATATATATATATATATATATATATATATATATAGATATATATATATATATATACTATATATATATATAGATATATATATATATACATATGTGTGTGTGTGTGTATATATATATATATATAATATATATATATATATATATATATGTATATTCATATATATATATACATATATATATATATATTATATATATATATATACATATATATATATATATATATATGTGTGTGTGTGTGTGTGCATATATATATATACATATATACATACTTACACACACACACACACATATATATACTATATATATATATATATATACTATATATATATATAGTATATTTTATATATCTTTACACACAATATTATCATATATATATATAATATATTATAATTATATATATATTATATATATATTATAATATATATATATCCACGTATGCATCTATATGCACACCTATCTATTTATACAGATTACCCAAAACAGAGAAGACTCAACCTCGAGAAACTCCGCGATCTGTCCTTCTTTATCTTCGTCGAAGTATCTTGTTCCGCCGATTCTTTGTATGACGTAAAATTTGACATCCTCGAACCTGTTGAGAAGCACAATGTAGGCGAAAATGGGCTAAAATTATGCATATCTGCTTTGGTTTTTACTGTCACTATGATAAAGTTCTATTTAGATGCCCCTGTCGAGGGCAACGAAGAGAAATGGGAAAGGGCAAGAAAAGGACGAGCAAAACAAAAAGAGATCATCTTACTCTCTTGGAAGCATTCTAGAGACCTGTTCCGGCCTCAGAGTTATGAATCCCCCCCTATTTCCCCTGCGTAGAAATGCTGCTTTGCCAAAGGATTTCCATTCTCGCTGCCAAATTTGACTCTCGTTTCCAGGCACTCTGCGCCGGGGAACGGTTCATGAGTGTCTGCTTTGTCTTCTCCTGAAATGTTGTTTTGTTTGTTTTGTTAGTTTTCAGACGTGACAGTGCGATTAGATGATAGTGTCAAGCAAAACCTCGCCATTATTGCACAGGTAAAGTCACCCTTCATCGACAAGATTTGAGTTGGAATATGAGAGGAAAAAATTGATTCTGAAATAAAATAAAAAGCTTTGATTTAGAAATAAAATAAAAAACTTTGGATTTAGAATAATAAACTTGATTAGAAATAAGCTAGAAAGCCTTTGATTTTAGAAATAGAATAAAATGATTTGATTTAGTGTGAGAGACTAAGTACCATGCTCCTCACCACATCGATCACATCCGCCTCGGTAAATTCCCGACGTAAGAGTATAAGTTCCTTGTAAGAATGTTTTGCAGGATCAACTTGGCTTTCTCGAGATGTAGGGACCCGGAATGGCATCCGCAGAATCTGGTACATGACGTCAATCGGTGAGGTAAAGTTGTAGGCCGCCAAGTCGTTTGCACACTTCGCTTCACTTGAAGCTACGGAGGGAGGCCTAAGGTCTATAAAAGGTCTATGTGCTTGCATGCACGTGCACGATAATGATATGTGCACAGTAATTAGGGCGGGTGAACAACTCTGTCTGCACTAAGTGTACATACTCAATATCATGAATACATTCTTCGAAAAGAGACTAGAGTGGAAAGTGGACATGGAAGTCGTCATCTGACATCAAAAACGAAATTGTCTTCATAATTTCAAATAGGCGCGATATAGTAAAAAATGTGGAAGTTATTAATAAAGTAAATGTTGGCAGCGACCACTGAATGGTCAGAGACCAAATCAAATTACATCCCAGAAGGGAAAGGGACAAACTCATACGAAAACCGCAGCCAAATTCAACTAACTTGAAGACCATGAGCGACAGAATTTGACCTCAACATCAAAAAAAGATATTCACTTCTCAGCTACGAAGATCTCAACACTGACCAAGTCAACAAACAATTCAATGACATTATAAAGTAGGCGGTAAGAACGTCAAGCAAAGCTCCAGCAAGCTTTCGGTAGAAACTAAACAGCTTATGCAAAAACGTAGGGTCATGAAAGTATCGTCAAACAGGGACAAGATAGTAATGAGCTGACTAAATAAAAAGTAGAGAGAAGATGTGCGGAAATTAATATAATAATGAAACAATGATCTCAGGTACCAGCATGAAAAAAGGAGACTTGGCTTAGAAAGAAATCAAATATATGCAATAAAAAAACAGACGGAGAAGTGACGTATAAGAATGAAATCATAAGAGTAGTGGAACTATACAACTCAAATGAAGGCCTCGGATAGAAGCGAACGCTTCTCAACGTAAACCCCGAAAGCCTGGGAAAATGCAACAATTCTTTTGATACACAAAAAAGGGGAGAGAAAGGATCTAAAAAAAAAAAAAAAAAAATAGGCCTCCTTCCAGTTACTTACAACTGTTCACAAAAGTCATCACAATTCGCATCTCTGACAGTCTGGATTCCAAGCAGTCTAGAGAACTGACAGCTTCCGCAGTGGATTCTCACAACAGACCACATACACACGCTAACCCAAATAAGAGAAAAATAAACGAATATAGGGAACCCCTGTGTATGGCATTCATCTACGAAAAGGTATTTGATTGTACGAATACTAGCAGTACTAGAAGATATTCGAAGACAGGGAGTAGAGGAAGTATATTGTAGAATATTGAAAGATATATACGAAGATGGGACAGTAACCATCAAGCTCCACATGGAAACCGATAAATACCAATTAAAAAGGTGTGAAGGGCAATACCATCTCGCCAAAAAACTGTACACCTTGCCTTGAGGAAATATTCAAGAAGCTAGAATGGAACGGAAAGGGTATCAAAATAGGAGACGAATACCTAAACAGTCTAAGTTTTGCAGATGATATTGTTCCTTTCAGTGAATCTGCAAATGAAATACAACAACTAATAGACATTCTGAAAAGAGAAAGTCTGAAAGTCGGAATTAGGATGAACAAGAAAAAAACTAAAATCATGTTTAACAGTATAGTGGAATTCGATCAGATGTATGTGCAAGGCGAAGCGCTACAGGTAGTGGACATGTATATATACTTTGGGTAACTCGTCCAGACAAACACATCTAGCGAAAGGAAATTAAGCGACGCATCAGTTTAGGCTGGAGCGTCTTCGGTAGACAAAGTAGAATACGAAGAGGCTTCTTTGCCATTATATTAAAAATGATTTTTTAACCAATGCATCCACCCAATTATGACCTATGGATCAGATATGTGGACTACAACCGAATTACTGGAGAAGAAACTAAGAGAGGGATGGAGAGGTAATGGAGAGGGGTGGAGAGAATGATTGGGAGAGGCCTATGTCCTGCAGTGGCTGATGGTGATGAAGAATATATACGTATATATGTATATACATGTAATATATTTGTATATATATGTGTGTGTGTGTATATATATATATATATACATGTGTGTGTGTGTGTATAATATGTATATATATATATATATATATATATATATATATATATATATATATATATATATATATATGTGTGTGATATTATATATATCTTATATCATAAATATATCACACACATATGCA